TGGAGAGGATATTGTTTGCTGGTTTAGAGTCATCTAAAAAATTCGTCCTTACACTTCAACCCTAGGGTTTTAGTAGGGTTTAGTAGGGTTTGCTGATTAGGGTTTATTAGGGTTTAGTAGGGTTTTCTGATTAGGGTTTATTAGGGTTTGCTGATGAGGGTTTATTAGGGTTTGCTGGTGAGGGCTTAATAGTGTTTGCTGGTTAGGGTTTAGTAGGGTAGGTTTATTAGGGTTTGCTGATTAGGGTTTACTAGTGTCTATTGGGGTTTACTGATTAGGGTTTAGTAGGGTTTATTAGGGTTTACTAGGGTTAGGGTTTTTTATTAGGGATTAGGGTTTAGGGTTTAGTAGGGGTTGTTATGGATTTGTTAGGGTTTATTTGTTAGGGTTTGTTTATTAGGGTTTAGGAGGATCTGTTAGGGCTTGTTTATTAGGGTTTAATAAGATTTATTATTAAGGTGTAACACATATATTAAAGAACATATGTTTATATATATTATATTTATAAATAAAATAATAAAATATTATATTTATAAATATAATATACGTAATATATAATATATTATATATAGTATAATATATAATATATTTATTATTAACAAAGAGTTTAGGGTTAGGGTAGGGTTTACTAACCCTAATCCCTAAACCCTAAACGATGAAACGCAGTTTTAAACCTAGAGTTTATAGAAGAATATAAAACCCTAAACCCTAAACCCTAATTTATAATAATGCGGTGGCTGCTGGGCCCCAGAACCCGCCGTCGCTCCAGCTAGGCTGGGAGGAAGGAAGGGCCTAAACCCTAAACCCTAAACCCTAAACCCTCGGGTATTACTTTAAGGTACACCGGCAATAAAATAAACCCTCAAAGCTCTAAAATATTATTAAAAATAAATACAACATTAACTTCTATGCTTCTGGAAGCCGCATGCGCTCGTCGCCAGCGCTCACGCTAAACCCTAAACCCTAAACCCTAAACCCTAAACCATCACACATTCAGTCTCCTAAGCGATAAACCCTAAACCCTAAGCTCTAGATTTGTCATTTTGTGTTTCTTTTTATCGGGGTTCGGAATTTCTACAAACCAACTACTACCGTCAGACAGCTACTCTAAACCCTAAACCCTAAACCCTAAACCCTAAACCCTTGTGGCGCGAAACCCTCGGGGCTGCTTTGCATGCCATGAGGGACTTCGACTGAAGAAGCAAACCCTAACTATGGGCTCTGCAAATGTGCGGCCACAGGTCAACGGTACGCAGCTGCTAAACCCTAAGCCCTAAACCCTAAACCCTAGGAAACCCTAGGAAACCCTACTAAACCCTAGAATGCCTTCTCATCAACCTGTGCGGCTCAGCCAACTCCCCTAGAGATACTCTACTTCTGAGCACTGGCGATCGATACAGAGGGTGAGCCTCTAAGCCCTAAACCCTAAACCCTAGCTTTAATGTTCTTCCTTGGTCTGCCTGTCAGAGACTTAGGGCTTGCCGAGGGTTTAGGGTTTAGGGTTTAGGGTTTAGAAAGGGGGGTTCCGTGTGGAGTTTGGGGTTTTAGGGTATAGGTTTGACTCCTCAGGGCCGAGGGATTAGGGTTTAGGGTTTAGGGTTTAGGGTTTAGCTCTGTTCTGCAGGCCTATCGACGCTTCTGGCGTTCCCTCTGGGAGAGGCATCCTTCTACTCAAGTGCCCTAAACCCTAAACCCTAAACCCTAAACCCTAAACCCTAACACTGGCCTTAGTCGTCCCCCATAGCATCCTGTAGCAACGTTCCATCGTGCAGCCTCGGTTTAGAAAACCCTAAACCCTAAACCCTAAACCCTAGGTAAACAACAACGCTTATGGTTTATCTTTGAATCCAAAGGCTTTTCTAGGGAGTTAAACTTTTGGTCTGGCGCTGGTTTTGGGCTGCAACAGCCAGCAAGGGTTTAGGGTTTAGGGTTTAGGGTTTAGGGTTTGTGGTTTAGGGATGGCCATTGCTTCTCCGGCACTTTCATCAAAGGGCGGCGAGAAGGCCCCGGGGTTTTTGTTGAGCGTTGAGCTCCGCGCAGGAGGAGGCCTCGCGGTTCATCAGGGTGAGGGTTTAGGGTTTAGGGTTTAGGGTTTAGGGTTAAAAGGTAGGGGCTTAGGGTTTAGGGTTTTGGGTTTCTAATTCTTTTTAGGGTTTAGCGTTTAGGGTGCTTTAGGGTATGGGTTTTCATGCGCCATCTGCTTGAGGCAGCAGCCTTTAAACCCTAAACCCTAAACCCTAAACCCTAGCCTTCCGAATATACTAGTCTGTGTAATAATAAAGCCCTAGAAGAAGTTGAAGAAGCCCCTCAAAGCTGTCGCTGTGTGCCCTATAGATTAAGGGTTAATATAAGGGTTTAGGGTTTACTAGAGTTTACTAGGGTTACCTAGGGTTTCTTAGGGTTTAGGGTTTATTAGGGTTTAGGGTTTGTGAGCAGGGGAGTGGCGAGGTTGTTTTCTTCATGGTCCCTGTCGGTCTCTTCTTCTCCCAGAGCGCCTTTTAATTTATTCAGAGTTCAAATGCGGTAAAAGACTGCAAATCAGGGGGCCCGTACCTCTACAATCAGCCGGGGGCCCCCTTCATGGGGGCCCCCTTCATGGGGTACCCCCTTATGGGGGCCCCCTTCATGGGGGCCCCCTTTATGGAAGCCCCCTTCAAGGGGCCCCCCTTTATGGGGGCCCCCTTTATGGGGGCCCCTTTCAAGGGGCTCCCCTTCTGGGGGGCCCTCCTATGGGGGCCCCTCAAGGGGGCCCCCTTCAGGGGTCCCCTGATGATGAGGGGGCCTTGGGGGGCCCCCAGGTAGAGGGAGAAGGGGACCCCGATAAAAGGGTACAGGAAGGTCAGCAGCAACAGTATGCTCAAGAGATGACACAGAGGGGCCCCCAGGGGGCCCCCCAAACCCTCAACAGCAGCGGAAACAGCAGCAGCCTTCCCCTGAACGGCACTGCAGTCCATGCACATTCTGCTGCTGCTGCTGCTGCTGCTGCTGCTGCTGCTGCTGCTGCTGCTCGGTCTCCGTTGTCCGTTGAACGTAAGGCTGCGCCTCAGAAGTTTGAAAATAGATTTTGGCGTTCAGGGTTTAGGGTTTAGGGTTTAGGGTTTAGGGTTTAGGGTTTGGGGTTTATGTGCCATCAGCAGATGGAGAAACCACCGAGTTGAGCTGGCCAGAAGAAGCAGAAGGTGAGCCTCAGTCCGTGTTGCTGCTGCTGCTGCTGCTCCTGCTGTACTTGCTGCTGCTGTTTTTGTCGTTGCTGCTGCTGCAGTTTGTGCTGCTCCTGTTCATGCATCGTCCGATGCTGCTGCAGCAGCAGCTTGTGCTGCTGCTTCTCACCTGGTTATTTGGGGTTTAGAGTTTTGGGTTTAGGGTTTAGGGTTTGGGGTGCAGGCCTAATTGCGCTAATAGGCATTTCGGGAGTAGGGTTTAGGGTTTAGGGTTTAGGGTTTAGGGTTTACGGTTTAGGGTTTAGGGTTTAGGCTTTAGAGGCTAGAATGTTACTGCAGCTGCAGCAGAATCTGATGGTGGAGTATTGTTAGGGTTTAGGGTTTAGGAGATAGGGTTTAGGGTTTAGGGTTTGGGGTTTAGGTTTGTGAGGGAAGTATATCGTTTGACTCTGCTGCCTGTGCTATTGGTGCTGCTGCTGTTGGTGCTGCTGCTGCTGCTGCTGCTGCTGCTGCTGCTTTTGCTGCTTTGCTTCTACGACCGCTGCTGCTGCTACAACTACGACGGGTGTTGCTGCTACTGCTTCTGCTGTTGCTGCTGCTGTTGCTGTTGCTGTTGCTGTTGCTGTTGCTGCCGCTGCTGCTGCTGCTGCTGCTGCTGCTGCTGCTGCTGCTGCAGCTCCCCGTTGGAGTCCTTATGAGCTTGCGAGTTGGCTGCGTTTGGCTTCCACTGAGCTGCGCACACAGCAGCTTCCGAGAGGGTTTATTGAAACCCTTCTTGCACGCCGAATCGGAGGTAAACCCTAAACCCTAAACCCTAAACCCTATCTCTAGACCCAAGAGTGGACGGGGGTGGGCGGTGCTTTGGACGCACTTGCGGACTTCATGCGCTGCTGCTGTTGCTGCTGCTGGCTCTGCCGCTGCTGCTGCTGCTGCTGCTGCTGCTGCAGGAGAGGAGTTTCTTTGCCTCACCCCGACGCAGCTGAAGCGCGACTTTGGGTTGGGGACATTTGGAGGCAGAAATAGGGTGATGATGTTTGTGAAACTCCTCAGGTAAACCCTAAACCCTAAACCCTAAACCCTAACTCTGCCTGTTCTGAATGTGCGTTTCGGCGGCTTTGCAAGATCCCGGTCTTCTTTTTCTTGTCTGTTTTTCAGGGGTTCGTTTATAGGGTTTAGGGTTTAGGGTTTAGGGTTTAGGGTTTTGTTTGCAGGTTGCAGGCCTCTCGTCGTCGCCGCATTCACCGTTTGTTTTTAAGCTCTTCGTCAGGCGTTCCTCTTGGCCCGCAAGCCTCTTCTTCTCACGGGGGGGCCCCTGGGGGGCCCCCAGGGGGGCCCCCTGGGGGCCCCCATCTGAGTGGGTCTTCGGTTGGTACGATGGAGGGTACAGCAGGTGAAGGGGGCCCCCCAGTATTCTCGGAGTCGGAGGGGCCCCTGGGGGCCCCTATGATGGGGGCCCGTGGGGGCCCCCCTATGGGGGCCCCTGTTGGGGCCCCCCGTGGCTTCTCATACCCCCCAACCCCTCCTGAAGGGTCTTCTAATGGGGGCCCCCGGTGCTGCAGCAGTGAGCAGGGGCCCCCTAATTTGTCTTCTCTTATACCTTTTGAGCAGCTGCACTTTGTGCGCTGGTTGGGGGGCCGCCGTACAAATGTTTTCTATGGGTTTTGGCTGGGTAAGGAAGTAGCAATAAAAGTATTTAAGAAGCAGCACTTCTTTTATCATATGCCTACAAGTGCTGCAGCGCCTGCTGCAGCAGCAGCAGCAGCAGCTGCTGCTGCTGCTGCTGCTGCTGCCGGGCCCCCGTGGAATGAAGGGCCCCTTACGTTCGCTTCACTTAGAGGGGCCCCCTCAACATGTACAACAGATGGGGGGCCCCCAAGAGGAGGCGCAACAAACGAAGTTGAGGGGAGGCTTCTTGAGGTCCTGTGCAGCAACACCGATTTGCTGCTGCAGCAGCTGCTGCAGCTGCAGCAGCTCAGACATCCTAACCTCGTAATGCTTTTAGGGGTCTCTCTCTCACACTCTTTTCATGTTTGTCTTGTTATGGAGTACCTTCCAAAGGGGCCCCTGGGGGCCCACCTGTCTCCTTCTCCTCCGCCTATATTAGTACCCCCCAGGAGGCCCCCCTGGGGGCCCCTGCTCGTTCCCCAGCAGCAGCAGCAGCAGCAGCAGCAGCAGCAGCAGCAACAGCAGCAGCAGCAGCAGCAGCAGTCTTCTTTCTGCTCCTCTCCCTCGGAGGGCCCCCATAACAACTCTTCCCCTCAGGAAGGAGACACATGTCTCTCTACTGGGGCCTCTTGCGCTGATGAAGCTTCAAAGGGCCCCTTAACCAGTGCCTCCAGGTCTCTTGCAGGGGCCCCCGAGGGCCCAGGGGCCCCCGGGGGGCCCCCCTCTTCAGGGGGGCCCCCTTCCCCCTCCAGTGTATGTCCTCCTAACTATAAGACAGGGCCTCTAGAGAGACGCCTCATGCAGGGGGCCCCCAGTTATTCTTCTTCTCCAGCAGAAAAGGAGACAGGAGACAGCAGCTCAATTCAAGGGGGCCCCCCTTCTGGGGGGCCCCCCTCAATGGGGGCCCCCCAACTTCTCTGGGGTGGCGTACAGGGGGCCCTCTCTTTGAATGAGCAGGGGGCCCCCCCCCTCCCTCCAGCTTGCTGCGTAGTACCCGTAGCATTAGCAGGGGCCCTAAATAAGTTGCATTCAAAAGCATTAAATAGAGGCGCAGGGATAGGGGGCCCCCATAGGGGGGTTGGGGGCCCCTGGGGCAGAAAGGGGTCCTCTTCTAAGGCCCCCAGCTCAAGGAAAACCAGCAAAGGGGGGCCCTCAGGGGGGCCCTCAGGGGGGCCCCTTGGGGGCCCCCAAGGGGGCCCCCCCACAGCAGCATCTGGGGGCCCCCCCACAGCAGCGTCTGCGGGCCCCCCCACAGCAACGTCTGGGGGGCCCCCTACAGCTACATCGGGGGGGCCCCCCACAGCAACATCTGGGGGGCCCCCATCTCCTCGGTACTCTTCCTCCCTGCGAGACCGCAGCAGCAAGGAGGGGCCCCAGGGTGATGAGTGGATGGTGGCGTCGGGGGGCTCCTCACCCCACGCCTCACAGCAGCAGCAGCAGCAGCAGCAGCAGCAACAGCAACAGCAGCA